CCCAGAACACTATGGTGATCAAATGGCTAGAGCATCTGACCAGTGAAATGAATAATGCCACATAGAGCATCAGAAAAGAATAAAGACTACAACACTGTGCTTTATCTGTTATCTGTGGAAGCTTGTTGACAAACTCAGATTTGTAAGATTGTCAGAATTGAGATAAAGGTCACTTTTTAAAAACAAATTCTGTGGTAGGAAAAAAACAACAACTGAGATGTAAACTCAGAATTGCGAGAATGAGTTTTTATCTTGCAATTCTGACTTTTTTCTTCAGAATTGTGAGTTATATCTTGCAATTATGATTTTATATCTTGCATTTCTGTCCGCATTGTGAAATAAAAAGTCACAATAACTTATTTTTTTATTTATATTCCATGGTGGAAACAGGCTACCATAGTTATTTGATTTAGTGTGGATAGCAACTACTGATTAGATCTGTAAAGTTGTCTTCATCCTTTTAAGGTGGATACATTTTAGAATATAACTTATTTTCTTATTCTCTCTCTCTGTATTCAACCGGTAGTGAGTCATACACTTGGCCTTTTCACAAGCATTACTTCCCTTCACTGTGCCTCCACTTACATTAGATTAAAACTCCCTGAGAATGCTTAATGCTTTAGAGTCATCAGGTCAGTCTACAACTCCATTTAGACCTTGGACTATTCAGCGCTATTCTTAGTCACGGAAAGAAGGGCCGTTTTTGTTTTGTACTATCCTTTCACAGGAGCAGTTAATGATACCGCAGGAACATAACTAATTGATTTCTCCCTCCTTTTTTACTCTAGAATGGGTGTAGTGAAGGATTTGTGCAGCAGAGGGCAGTATATTAACGTTGTTAACAAGTGTTTATAGCTCATTTACAGTAGGTAAACAAATGTGATACTGGCATTCTATTCCTGGAACAAAACACCAACTTTCAAAATAAACCTCACATTAAGAGGCAGAACCTGAAGAGGAAAGCGCCTGAAAATACCTGGAAAGTGAAGTGAACAAACAACTCCAGCACACAACATCTAATTTAATGTCCTTTAGCTTGTTGGCCTTCAGTAAATGGCGTCACAGCCTCGTCTTTATGTTGGCGTTAACTCACATATGTCCATGTTTGACTCAGGCTGAGGACAGGAAGTGATCCGTGTCCTAGTTTACCCTGAAACCTCTCAGGCCTTCAGGCAGGACCATTCAGGAGAAAACAATTAATGCCTATACTTAAAAATAAAGTGAAATAGTTAACCGTTTGGAGGGCTAGAAGGAGAGAGGGGTTTTGCAATCCTCTCTTTACCTCTTTTTTTATTATTATTCCTATTCTTTACTATGACTGGACAGATCCAGTGCACAAACAACTAAGCAATTATAAACGTTCTCATTTTTCACACAACTGACATACTCCGTTCCAGATCGGATTTCAGTCAGTGTTCCTTGCCGACATGTAAAAAAAAAAAAAAAAAAGAAAGACTTTATTTGGGACTATTTTTTGATGGCAGAGGGGAAAAAAATACACAAGAGTGCTGTTGTACTGAATATCAGCACATATAGTGCAACATTGAGTCCAACAGCATTCGAGTTCCTGTAAAACAGTGTTACTTTATATTTATATACTATTATAGTTTTTATTAACATTGATGAGCTTTTATTTTTACATTATCATTTAAAAAAAAAAAAATTAGAATTTTTTTAATTTGATTTTGACATTTTTATTAGTTTTTTTGCTATTAGTCTTTTTAAAATATATTTCTAAATAGTTTAAAATTAGTTCTTTGTGCTTAAAATTTCATTTAGTTACCAAAGCGACATTCCAATTTAAAAAATTTTTTTTTACGTTTTTCGGCATGTATTTTATTTCAGCTTTTTTTTTTCAATTAACAGAAATGTTTGTTTTTTTGTTTCAGTTTTAGTTAACGATAACACCGCTGTGAAGTTACTTGTATAAATATTCATGTTGTAATATTTCAGACTGGTGCATTCATTTCCTGGAAAGCACATTAACACTGACAGTAATGGCTTGGACATTATACAGTACAAACCATTTACGGTCACTCCCAACTTCTGCAGTAAGTTAATATGATGGCATGCATCTCTAATTATTGGCGACATCAGAAATGGATATTATATAATAGATGCTTTTTTGAAAATTTTAGCAATTTAAAAATATTAAAAAAGGATTTTTTTACACGGCACCCCTGCTCTCGACAGACGGCACCCCGGTTGGGAAACACTGTCCTAATCTACATACATCACAGATACAATTTCTTCCTTTAGTATTGGTCTCTAGACAGAAGATGCTTTCAAATGCACGTTTTTTGGACTTGATTTATTGATCTTGTCGCCTCCAAATTTGTTAAAACACTCAGTTGTTACCCAAAATCTCAACATTTGGCCCAGCAATTGTGTATTGTTGCTTGAAAACAAACACTTACTGTGGGGACCACTGAACAAACTGAGTTGATTAGATATTAATGGGCATCAAATTAAGTATCCATTACTAGTTAGTATTAATATTATAATTTACCACTCACATAACAATAAAATGATTGTTTAAATGACTGATAATTTTAACAAATTAAGAAAACAACTCATCCCAAGTCTTACCTCATCTCCGATGCCATCTCATTTCCTTGCAGGGCTATATTAGAAATTATTAGTGTTTAACATCATTTAACAGGCCAACACATACATTTAAAGAAATAATGAACAGTTCTCACAAAAACACAGAAACATGATTAAGGACCCTATTGCAATTTTAATGCAGACACAATCACCACACAATTGATCATTATTACTTGTATTTGTAAGGCACTGCCTGGTAAGGAAAGGCAAACAAGAAGCTTTACAATAAGCCATTGACACGGTCATAGCTAGACAACACAGAAGAACTGGCAGGAAGAGCGAGAAAAAGGAGAGAAGAATATGAAATCTTGGCAGTTGGTCTATATTTACAGTTCAAAGGCATTTCCTGCTGTGTCCATCATGCTCAGAATGGGCGGTGCCAGCCTCTGATTGGCTGCAGTGCGACTTTGTCACCGCCTACCAAAGGCAACACAAGTCACACTAGTAAAGTTCATGAAGAAACAATATTGTCCTCATTACCCTTTTGTCATTAAGAGTGTGAAGAGTTTGGCACATTTGAGTCAGAACATACAGGTAGGAAAACCGTACCATTTACAGATTCTATTAGACGACTTACCATTAGCTGCCTTACCATTATATCTTTTCTATTAATTAAATTACACTTTAAACTTGATAATTTGATACATATAAAACAACAGAAGCTTTAGGTGGTTGCGGACAGCTGCAAAACATTTATTTAAACTTTGGTAAGCTCTAAATAAAAAAATATAACAATTAAAAAAAAAAGAATTGTTGTTTTCAAAATAAAATAGTACCAATAAACAAAATTTCAATTCTAGGATATCATGATTTAATTGGCAAATGAGTCGCTCTCAGTCCAAACTCTTGCTGTTAAGGCAATGTCGCGTTCGTATTTCATTACCACATTCGAGAAAATTCTCTACCATTACATGTGTTACGCATTTCTTAAGAAAGGCAACCAGCAATGCAAACTTCCTTGATCAAATCAAATATTGTTGATTTAAAATACAGAATCATAACTGTGTCATAAAATAAGGCAAGCCATGTGTCAAAGTGCACATATATAAAAGCAAACATGGTACAAAACATAAAAACGCAACTGCTGGATCAGACACCAAAGCAAGGGGAGATAAAAGCTTCTGTGGCTTTTGTTCTGAGTGTCTGTGTGTCATGGATCAAAAATCAGACGTTTCTTTGCACTATGACTGAATTAGAATCGGACTTGATGACATTACTGTACGCAATCACCGATAAATACGCCAAAAATATTTGGGAGGGACAAAAGAATCACCGGCTCGGACATCAGCATCACAAACACCTATACAAACTGATAGTGGTACCACAAACTGAACCGTGAGCCAACGGCATCAAAGCACCCACAGGATGTGACATCATCACTGCACAGGAATGGGAGTGGCACTTAAAATGCACCGGAAAACAAAACAGCGGGCTTCCACAGAAACAATAATCTATCTCTTTTGTCTAAAGCCTCTTGCAGCCTTGAGTGTAAAAATATATTTACATATAATACTATTTTAATTCATCTACACAGGAAGAATATACTGAACATCTGATTATTGGCATAGCAGAACACAAAAATAAATGTTGGGTTTTCATTGTGCAGGTGCTGATCTGAGAAGTACCATAGTGAGTTTTCGCTCTCCTCGACGGTTGTGATGTTCCCCTCAGGTCAGAGTATATTATAGTGGTCCCTCTGAGCAAAGCTGAAAGCCGTGTGGAGAGGAAGGGTCTGCAATTAGTCTGTGTTCCTCCTCGCTTTATCTTTCACTCGCCAGAGCGGAGGCTTGAAAAACCAGAGTCCTCCAGAAGGTCTGTTCTTATTTCTGAGCCCATTAAATTGAGCTCTGTCTTGGATTTAGTAGCACTTCCGTCTCCTTTCTTGAGTCTGGGCTTCTCGGCACTAAAGGTCGGTCACTTTATTCTCTAATGCGGCGGCAATCTGCTGCAGTCTGAGGGTCAGCTGTTTGCTCTGGGCGGCAGGATCGTCCTCCAGCGACGAGATGATCTATGGATGGAGTGGCAAGAGACAGAAATTTGTACCGTTTACTTGTTGATCTCAAGAAAAAAAAAAAAAGTATACCAGAGTACTGTATGTGTGCAGGTATGGAAATGGTTGGAGTTCAACACACATTCTCTGATGTGTAACAACACCTACCCCATCGTAGTACTTGCTGGCGTACTGGTAAAGCTGGTGCAATGCAACCTGGGTATTCAACTTATCTGTATGAGACTGGAGAAAGATAAGGAGTTAAATTTTCCGTTTACAATAACATGCATGAAATAAAATGAAATACAATATAATCATACAAAAAAATTACATAAAATGTTAAAATTAAATAAAAATGAGAAAAATATAGAAATAAAACAAAATAAAAATGACACAAAATAAAATAAACATGACAAAATATAAAAGAGAAAATTACATAAAATCAAAAAAAAAACCTACTAAAATAAAAAATATATAAAAATTACAATAAATAAAATAAAAAAATAAACATGAAAAAATATAAAAAATAAAAATCACAAAATATAAAACTGCATAATGCATAAAATACAATATGAACGTGAAATGATACATTTATTAATAAAACTAAATAAAATGCAAATTACATTAACAAAAAAAATGACAAAATATAAAAATAAAATAATAAAATACAAATTACAGGAAATAAATTATAAACTTATAAACAAACTTACACGTGAAACTTCTGCAAGGTGTGTGTTCATGTCTTGGTCACTGACTGGAACCATCTGACGGATGCCTTTATAATAACTGAAGAGCACAGAGAACATGAGTGTGGTGTTGTTGTTGTTTTTTCAACTGTGATAACACATGTACCAACTGATGAACAGAACAGAAACCTACTCATCAACCATCTTCTTGTAAGTGGAGATTTCCTTTGCATAAAGCAGCTTGTTGCTAGGAGACTCCTGTGAAGGAGAGATCAAGAGAGGAAACATGAAACAGAAAGCCAAGACGAAATTATAGGATTGATAAACTACAACTTCAACTCTTGCTGCTCACCCGGGTAAGTTTGTGCTCAGTCTTGGTGCAGGCGTCCATGAAGGTCTGGGCGATGACGGACAGAGAGGCGTCCACCACTTCAGTCACATGAACGTCAACGATGAAGTGAGGGTTTTTCAAAATGTTCACCCAGAACCGGAGAGGCAGACTGAAGAAACAAACACACAGATCCATGTGCATTTATTTCTTTGCAGACGCGTTCTTATTAAATGACTTGCAAGGACAAAACAAAACTATAATTGAACATTTAAAAAATTATTGTTAGTATCAACATTTACAGGTGGAATAAAAAAAAAATAGAATAAAATAATAAAATAAAATTTGTAGGACTGCAAAAATACAAATAATATATAAAATATCATATATAATTTAAATAAATATAAATAGTTTGAAGGACAGTCTACCAATAATTTCTTCAAACTACATTTTTTAAGATACTCAGGACACAAATGGAAGTAAAATATTAATATAAAAACTGCCCAGATTTGTCAGTAACACTAAAGACAAAATGAAAACCCAAGGTAAAACTTTTTTTTATCTCAAGTCTATCTTTTAAATTAAGCACAAAGTACCAATCAATTTAGCTTAATGAAGACAAGCTCAACAAACCCTCTACTGAATAGAAATATCATTTTATTTTAAATGAGGCACTGCTTTTGTTTAAAGGTATCTAATAGCTTTATCTTCATTCCTCCAGAGCAGTTTTTTTTAAATTCCCTTGATCTAATGCATGTATCAGCATCTCCTCATTCAATCAAAGAACATCATTTTTCAGAGAGAGAAAAAAAAGTCATCTCAGAGTTTGGAGTGAGATTTTAATATAACAACATCCCAACGGCCCTTTTGGGAAAGGAGCTGCGAGTGATCCATACAGAGTCAATACCAGAGTCCCGTTGGCCTCGAAACAAACCCTTGAAAACAAATCAAACCCTTTTTCGTGACTTACCCAGCAGTCACGGTTCTTCTGCAAAACAATAATGAGAGGAGTAATTTAATGGACCGCTGATGGGGAAGTGAAAGAGAAGTGTGCACTTCAAGCAGCTGTCAATCTCTCTGCTCATCGAACAAGACACACTGTGAATATTTTATCAGGGCTCAACAAAGCCTGCATAACTTAATCTGCTGAGTTAAAAAGGGTTCCGAGCATTTCCCTCCGGAGTTTTCAAATCTCTGCTGCACAGGACGGTTTATTATTATGAGAACTGTAAAGTTGTGGTTAGTTATATGTGAACAAGTACCTAGTTATGAATAGATACTATTATAATTTGTCCCAAAAGTTAGGAAATGTGTTTTAATTCAATTAATTCATTGTGAAAGTTAACTTTTGAATCGCAAGAGTTCATGGGTCAAACCAGCATAAAATTCAGTACCATAATTGATGATAAATGAAAGACAAGTAAAGACGGATGGCTGTCACGTCTGTACATGTGAACTGCCGCGCTCGTGTGAATTCATGAAGCAGAAAGCTGGTTTTAGTCACAGAAAGAATGTCTGTCACTTTAAACAACCACCTCCTGCTATGCACATATTGTACAAAATAATAGTGGCATCCTACTGTATATGATGCATTCATGCACAACACAGCTTTACTAACTGATGTAATGACACAGTTGAATTCATTCAGATAATGCTGAATCTAAATTTTAGGCTGCACTGATTATTTGTCATTAATCTATATAATATAATATAATATAATATATGCAGTAAATTTACAATTAGTTATTATTATAATGATTAATAATATAATTAAATATATGTATTTATAATAATATATATATTGTGTATAATAATAAACAAAATATTTTTAAATTAAATATAATTATTTGTTATTTAACTTCACAATATTATATAATATAGGCAGCAAATTAACTTTTTTCTTCTTTTTTAGGACATTTTAAAAAAGTCTTTGCATTTTTTCCCCCATACAATGAAAGTTAAAAGGGTGAATTTACAGTTAATTATTATATTAAAAATTATTATATTAAAAATGTAAATAATATATTTATAATACTATACAATAACATTTTTAAAAGGAAACCTTTGTCATTTAACTATAATATAATATAATATAATACAATACAAGAGCCCAATGTTGTTTCGTACTCCACTGAATTTCACTGTATAATAATAATTTTAAGAAAGAAAAAAAAAACAGCTTCTTTAAAAAAAATTCAATTTTTAAGTGAACTGTCCCTTTAAGTGTTTCATACCTGTTGGTCTTCCATATGTGGATGGTCTCCTCATCAACGTTGTCATGTTTTTGTGCTTGTTCGTCCAGGAAGTCAAAGAAATACTTGACTGCAGGAGGAACCACGGTCCCAGAACACAACACACTGCGGAAGAAATCATCCACAAACTGCTGCAGCGTGCCCTGTAACACAAGCACATCAGAGTACATCACTATCTAATTCAATTTCCAATTCAAGTCATGTGAATGAAAACAAACATTTAAAATGTAAGTAAATATCCAGTCTAACCCACCTTCATAGAGAGGAGTCTGGTCAGGTAAATCTCAGTGATGGCTTTCGTCGTGGCCTTGTCTTTCATACTCCCTCTCTTTGATTTCACTTCATCCAACTCATCTGCCGGTCTCACCAGGTGAAATACTTTATCATCCTCCAGCAAATAATTTCCTGTTCATCACAAAACAAGCACATTTGAAGGACTGATTGCTCTTCCTGTTTGGAGAACAGTTATTTTAGGCATACTTGAGCGGCCCATTAGTCTGGGTTCAGTTCTAGTTCACTGTTTATTTAGTGCGCCAGCAGATTTGAGTCATTCTGTGTTTTTCTATCATTAAGGACTGTCAATATGTTTAGACTATTAAGGGGGATCAATAAGAAGCAATGCACTGGTGTCATTAAAATACAACTGGAGTAGTTTAAGACTTCAGTATAACTGAAAGTCACTAACTTTCTTCATGGTTGTCTTGGTTCTGGTAGAAAGACTGCTGGGTGTGCAGAACTCGGGACAAGACCAGGGTGGCACCATTCCTCACCTAATACACACAAACAAAAATATAACACAACAGATATTCATTTTAATTAAGCAAGGAATAATATGACATCACACAAAGTGATCTACAACCAGAGAGAATTTTCTATTTAAAAAAATAAAATAAAATAATTAAAAATAAAATAAAGCCAGTGATTGAATAAAACAAAATACACACAAAA